CCAACTGGGGACCTGGTCTGCAACCCTGGAATGTGCCCTGATCAGAAATCAAACTGGCAACCTTTTGGTGTGTGAGATGACACCCAACCCACTGAGCCACACCAAGTCAGGGACTCCCTGTCTTTTCAGATTTAGGGTTGGCCATGTGACATAGTTCTGGGCACTGAGTCAAGTATAAGAAAAATGTTAATAACTTACTACCAGCAAATAAAAGCCTATTTAACCTTTACACCATTTTTTTCCTTGCCATCACAATTGAGATCTGGATATCTCTTTTAGTTCTATTTTTTATGAGCTATTAAAATTCTAAAGCCTAGTTTAAAAAAACAAGTTTTTATAATAAAGGAAACAACTCAGAAAGAATTGAAGGAAATGTTCCCTACCCCTGTAGCTATAAATCAAAATACATTGTTCCATGTTTTAAAAGGGTTCAAGGAATCTGATTTGATACTGTGCAAACTGAGAATGTTTATAAGAATATAATTTATGTCCTCTTCTGCAATATACCGTGTTTTAATGAATATTCATGCTGTCACTGACTTGTTCCATTCTCTGTTAATACAAATCCTCCCTTGAAAGAACAATTTAAACAAAGTGGTCTTATGAGACTCCAAAGACATTACAAATTATTCCATGTCTTATGAAAATGATATTCAAGTAAAAAATGATATTCTGACCAGTTGTCTTACTTGATAATTTCTTGCTCTGGTAACAAAACATCATAATTGATGGCGCTGTTTTCCTAAATGTATACCTATCTGTGGGATTGCACTCTTCTCTTCTCCCATGTGGACAGTGCAAAAATAAAAACCTTGCACTCTGATAGACTTATTATTAAGCACAAATGTTGAGACTTCTTAGTATAAAATGCCAAACATGAGGCTCTCTGCTGGGGATATTGGGGAATTGTGCTTATCTGATAACTGGCTCCACTACTTTCTCCTTGTCACTTGCTGCTTCTTCCCTGGACTATGGATGCAATGCTGGAGGTGGCGCAGCCATCTGGCAACCATGAGGTAACCTGAGGCATTGTCCGCTCCGCAGTTTCTCTTCACTTCCCTCATTTTATTGTCCAGTATGTAATGGTCCTTCAGGCTTTACAATCTCTTCCCTTTCTCATGTCCTTCTCCAAGCCCTGGCACCTCCATCGGCTGTCTCCATAGGCAACCTTTCCTTTTCCAAATTTACCTCCTCATTTCAGGTTCGGGTTCCAAGAGCTCCAACCCGAGCCTTCCTCCTCAACACATCTCCACCTGGCTAGTTCCTTGAAAACCGAGCGTCCTCTCAGATTTTGGCTGAGTGGGGAGGGACTGATGGGCTGACTTACTACGACTTACAGAACACTGAGTGGAGAACGAACTTTCCAGAGGAATAAACTGTTGGACCTTTTTAACGTCTCACCTTGAGCCCAATGTACTGACTGACAAACGTTGACTGTGTGCGAAAGCACTGACTCACTGGGAAGTGGCTCAGATAGAGAAAGGCTAAATGGTTATCTGCCTTATAGCCAGCTCATCGGGTGGCCTGGGGGCCACCAGGCTTCACCAACGACCCACCAGCCCGCGCTCACCCACGGATACCAGTTCCCTGAGAAGCACTAACCCTCCCCATGCCCCCACCCCCCTTCCCACATGCTCACCAATGAGCCTGCGCGAGTCTGTCAGGAGCCAATCAGGACTTGAGGATGCCCGCAGGGGCTGCTGGAATGGGGAGGGGCCTCGTGGGTCTCCTGTGCTTGAGCTAGTCTGGAAAAATGGTCACTACTGGAAACCCTGGACTCTGGTGGGACATCTCTTGCCTCAATTCTGAGGAGAATCATCTTTATGGAGCTGGTGGTTCTAGGTTACTCCTAGAGCTTAGGACTCGAGCCAATTAGTCATTAAGGGACGTTCTTCCTCAACCCAACACTTGTGGGAAGTGTGATGGGAGGATGGGGGGAGGCTTCGATCACGAAACAAAATGCCAAGTGCACGACCCTCAGGGCCAATCAGAAGGCACCTTCATACCCTCGCGTCCTGTCCTGCAACCAAGACCCCATCCTGAACAAAAGACACAAGGCCCAACTCTCCATTTTCATGACAACCTAGCCATGATCTATTCCCAAAGCAGTTCCCATCCTTTTTCTCATTCTCCACATCTTCCTCAAACCTGCCACCCTCCTGGTCCCCATCCTTGTCCATTTCTCCCTGACAGAGGATTTGTTTGATAGAAGCAAACACCAGACCTATTATAAAGGATCGTCCCTCAACTTGAAACCTCTGCTACACAATATTCTCACAGATGAAGTCCTGATGAATAGGAGCTCACTTTCCAGGGTTACAAAGCACATGAGAAAATAACCCTCCATGAGTGAGGATAAAACTTCGACTTCTCACTTTGAGGCCCTGAAAGTTCTGTCTCCTGGGCAACTCACCCTTCAGTCTGAGCTTCAACTGCATAGACCGCTCCCCTGCCCCCAGGTTCTTGAACTCATTTCAGAGCCTAGAATCTGTTGTTCCCTCTGACTAGTTCCTAACAGTTCTTTAGGTCCCAGCAGAAATGTCACTTTCTCAAAGAGGCTTTCTCTGATTTTCTAATCCAAACCAGGTTCTTCCTCTGGTCCTTTATACATGCTTAGTGGTCTCCCCTTTTTCTTCTCGGCACTTATTTTATCATTTTGTGTTTCTTTTTTCCACCATCTGTGTACCTGTGCAGACCACAAGGTCCACGGAAGCAAAGTCAATGTCTGGCTTATTTGTCTCATCTGGTACAACATGAGTTCTCGTGTGGAATGTATAAACTGCACGCAAGAGAGGTGCCCATACCTGTGATGGCTTATATGAATATCTGCCTTGAGTACAAGATAACCATCTCACCAGTGCTGAATGGAAAACCACTGGATTTATTCATAAATAATGAATGCCCCAGGGAAGAGATGACTCTTTTTTTTCAACAGCTGAAAATGAGCAGTCTCTGCCACCAGAAGAACGATTACCATTCATTCTGATACAAATACACAGCCATGGCCCATTTCAATGTCAGAATCCCTTTCCCAGTCCTTGTATGCCTACCTTTCAGCCTGGCCAAGAAATACTGTAGTAACTTCCTAACTAGGTTCTCTGCCTCCAGCCTTAGCTCTTCTAAATACATCTTCAGTAACTACTCCTAAAACAGTCTTTCACTGCATATCCAGTCACCCCACTTCTTTGCTTCAAACCTTCCAGCAGCAGCTTATGGTTCATTCAATTATTCAACAAACATTTTTGAGAGTTTATTATATTTTAGGCACCATGCTAGGTGCTGGTGACACAGCTAGGAAAAAAAGACAGGATCACTGTTCTTGTGGAACTCACATTCTAAGGGAGTCAGAATAAGGTCCTACCAGATAAAGCTCCAATGCTTAGCTTGACATTCAGGGTCCATCTTTGTATCTTTTCTCCACTTGTATCTCTGAACACCATTTTCCACACACTCTCCACCCAGGTACATCTCAAGTGAGAATACTTAAGTTCAAAGTTTAAAGTTCAAGGATGGGGGAAAATGGTCTTCTTCCAAGACATACAACCATTAAGCATTAAGTTAGGATTCAATACAGATAGGATAGCTCCAAAGTCTGGTGTTCCCATATGTGTATCTCCAGGTCCTGGGCACACAACAGGGGCTCAAAAGCTCCTTCTTGGTGGACCTATTTCATGGTCTCACATGTATTTTTCTTTCCTTTGACACCATTCCAGGACGGGGCACATTTCTTCTGGCTAACCCAAAGAACAGTTCATAGCTTGCTTTCAAAGTTTCTAAGATCAGGTCCAAGAGTAACCCTATTCAGTGGAGAACCAGTGTGAAGGACAGGGTGGGGGCAGCACGAGAGGTCTTTGTGAGCTGAGGTGGCTCAGGGGCTCCAGGTTTGCTACAGATCCTGGGTTTCCTTAACAGTTTTATGGGATAATGGGCTCCCCAGGTGTGAATGTAGTTTCCACAGGCCTTGTCGGCTCCAACTCAGCTTGCTTTTTCCTGGAAGTTTAGAGTAATGGGTACTGCAGAGCAAAGAGAGAAAGATGTTGGAACAGGTTCAGAGGTGAGGTATCCAAATAAGGACAGAATTCTGTCCCTCCCTTTGAGTACTTGGGGCAACTTGGAGCAGGCATTGGCTTGACCTTTCCTTGCAATGCCCTGGTTGAAGCCTGCAGCGTATCTTCTCCTGCTGGTCCTTCCTGTGCATTCCTAGCACCAGAACCACCCGACTGCGCCCCCCCCCCCCCGCCAGACTCCCTTGGGAAGCTCTGCCTGGTTCTGCAGGTAAGTTCAGTCCCTCCTTCCTCTGGGCAACCTGACCCCCAGCTCAGCCTCGTTACTGTGAGGGTGCCTTCCCCACTGCCCTGGTTGCTTTCTGAGGGCAGGGCCTGGGTCTGACCCATTTCTGAGGTCCTAGCATGGGCCGCATGGATATTAGGAAATGCTGGTGGAACGCAATCAATGCATGGTTTATCCAAAAAGGAACACAGGCTCCCAGTGCAAGGTATATGAACAGCAGTAGGGCACTTCTGGACTAGAGAATGTTCAATGGTCAGTAACAGCGAGGCTCAGAAACCTCAAGTACTTTCTTCTAAACTCCACTGAGGATACAGGGTATAGTGTAAATGAAGTAAACTGCTTAATCTGCCCCTCCCACCCCCGGGCCCTTTGGACTGACTTGAGCCTGTGGTATCTTCAGACTGTGGTAACCACAGATTGCCAAACTCTCAGGGATACAACTCTTTGATTTCCACTCTAATGCTACAACTGCTGCTGGAGTTTCTCCCAACCCTGTTCTCAACAGGGACTCAGTGTGTGTGTGTATGCGTGTATATATTGCTGATTCTAATTATCCTTTAGGTTGTTTCTCTTAATTTTCATCCTTCTTTCCTTCCCTGGGCCTTAGGTTCATCATCTATAAGATGATGTTCAAACATATTATTCTGGCATTCTATAGAACTGAGGATAATCATGTGGTTCTCCTGCTGTGTCTTATTACCATTATCATGCTAGACTAGACTGCAGACGCAGTGGGTACCCACCAATCTCTGGCTCTCAGGAGATGGCATGACTATGGATTCCTCCAGTTCCTCAGGCTTCAGATCCACATTGTGTCCTTGGCATTCTCTGCCTTTAGTGTTCCTTTCTGCCTTCATCACTGCAATTTTTTTTGCCAGCTTCCTTCTGATATGTTTCACTCTACAGAAAAGAGCGTCTGGATTAGTCTGGCTCTCCTCACTCCCCAGTGCCCCAAGAGGGCTGTGGCCTTAATCCTAAATTCCAGTTTAGAGCCTCAGTGACAGTACCATCTTGTCCTGTTTTCTAGGGTGAGTCACACCACTGTCTGGAAGTTGGTTCTGTACTCCACACAATGAGACCACCTTGCTCATCAGGCCCTGGAGCTTGGGTGAGGTCAGCTATGAAAGGGCTTTGCAGACTGTAAAGGATTGTTTTGGTCTCTAAGTCCAGATGGCTAGTCTTGAAAATAGCTCCCCAGCTGGCCCTGCCACCCTGCTCCTCTCCTTCCTCACCTGGGTTATCTAGTCACTCCCAAGTCCCCTGTCTCTGACTGTCCCACATCACTTGCTCCGGCTCAGGCCTGGCTCAGGCCCCAGGCCTCCTGACTCTCCCGCTCTGGTCTGTGTTTCACCCCAAGCTCATGCCTTCCTTCCCAGCTTAGCATGCTTCCAGGGCTCCCAACTCAGAATAAACCCCAAGACATATGGAGACAAGACCCCCACCGCTCCCCCTGCCCCCATCAAACTATCTGGCCTGACCTCTGCTAACTCTGCCCTTCTCACTCTAGGCTTCTTAGCCAATAGGTTCAGCCAAGTTTTGAGACTCTTTACAAACCAACATAGAGAGCCTTTTTCATCTTCACTGTTAGCCATTGTCAGTCACTCTCAATGCAACTGACATTGCACAAAGACACTGGAAATTCCTCAAACGTGTCTCTAGGATCTGTAGATACTACTTTCTACCAAATGAGTGTTCAGCCCCCAGGTCCATGGCAGGCGGTACTCTAGGGATTCTGCTGTCTTCCCCAGAGCATCACTTCCTTCTTTGCATTCTCTCCTTCATGAAATTGGCTGAAAACCTCTGTCCCTTGGGCCTGTTTGTGGTTCAGAAGAGTCCTGATGGCCCTGGATTGTGGGGATCGTGTTTGGTGCCCTTTCCCTTCCCTTGAGGGCAGGGGCCCAGTGTCTGCCTGCTCTGTGCCACACCACAGCCAGGGCCTGCCAAGTAGCAGGCTCTGGGAGAGGCCCACAGATGAATTTTAACTCCAGGACTCACATGAATGGGATGAGGCAGAGGAAGATCAGTGCAGTTGCAATGGATCCATAGGCAAGGCCCTGGAAGAAGCCGTTGATGAACGTCCGCGTAACCAAGGAACTCTTTACTGGAAGTAGAGAACATACGAGAGAAAGGCTGCTCTCCCACAACCTTGAAATTGGGGCCAAAGCTCCGCCTCCTCCCCTGGCCCCAATGCCCATCCCCACCCCCCTCTTCCTCATCCTCACTTGACATCAGTATGATGTTCATCCCATACACTCCGTGTGTATTCTTCCCCTCACAGAGAAGGCTTGTGCCCATTTCTGGCATCTCAGCCAGGCTGATGGTGGTGTTGGTCCAAGGGCCCAAGTGGATGGAAGTCACCTGGGGGCTGTCATCCATGCCGTCTATACCCAAGATATCACCTTTCATCCACCATCGCACGTAGGGTACAGGAACCCCATGGAAGGAGCAGCTGCACTTCAGAACCTTCTCCAAAGAGCAAGAGGAAGAGACCAGTCTGGCAGGTACTGTGGAGAGGGAGGGCCAGGAGTCGGCAGGGAATCCCAATGCCCCTTCTTCATTTCCACTTTCTCCAGAACCCAGCCCTTTCCTTACTCGTGATTCTCAAGGAGCTTCGGAAAGACTTTACAGGCCCCCAGAGGGGTGTGGCCTCACGGACCTGTCTCCTCATCTGGCCTGAACCTGAATGTTTAACCTTCTAGACTGGAGTTTTCTGGGGATGTACACTGCATATAATTCCTTATCTACACTCCACCCCCAGGCTAGACTTCCCGGTCTTAGCTCCTACGTCCTCCTTTCTCTTCCTTCCATCTCCACTCTCCCCTTGAGTTCTCCCCCTTCCTAGCCCCATCTGTGGTCAATTTTTCCCTTCATCACTTACTATCTGGATGCCTTCGGGCAAATCACTTGTCCTCTCTTTGCCCTTTCCTACTCTGGAAAATAGGAATAGTCACTGAACGTGCATCACGCTGTCATTGCTGTAAGGAGGAATGCCCTAAGGTTTGCAGGGTCCCTAGTTCAGTGTATGGTGAAGCATTACCAGTTCAATAAATTGAATGCCTTTCTAGATTTTCCTCCTCCCAACCCCAAGAGGCCTTTGCTTGAGCATTCACCTGAAGCAAAGATTGCTATAACATTGTCTGGGTAACAGCGTTTGAAGCCGCCCAATTCTACACAGAATAGACAGGACATACTGTCAATTTGGTGACTATCATGGATTAGGAAGGAGTCAGTCTTTAGGGTTTTCAGGTACTTTTTCATTGAAGCCAGTTGGGGTTACTGGAAGAGGTAATTTCCCCCGAAACAGTAACCCTGGATCCTGACTTGGCCTTTTCACCTGGGTCACTTGACGTGATAAAGAATTTGCAGGGGATGGTGATGGGTGATGTATAGCCTCTCCTCCACCTCTGGTCTCTAGACTATTTATTTTCTCCATCTGGGAAGGCACATTCATGGAATGCCACTGATGAGACGCTGAAAAAGTGACTACCTGGAAGCTCCCAGCATGTGCCAGTGGTACCTCAAACAGCTCCTCATGCTCTCGTATCCTCACTTCCAGTCCACCCTCACTTCCAGCCCCACTCCCTGGCCTAATCCACCGTTTGCCCTGGACACCCCCCAGCCTGGCCAGCATCTGGCCCACAGATGCCTGACCCAAGTTGGTTATTTTGTAACCAGCATGCTTGCGTTCTCTTTCTTTGTGCCCCCAGAGCCCTCGGCTCCCATAGACACCCCAGCACCACTTCCCCACTACTCACCCACACTGTTCTCTGGTAGCGCCATCTGTAGCAGCAATGATGGCTCTTAGGGACAGGAGAGGCCTGGCACTTTTACCGCAGCCAGCTCCAACCTCAGAACTGTGTGGTCCAGAAGGGACAAGAGGATGAGTAACTGAAAGAAGACATGGGGTAGGGGAAGAAGAAAGTGTTCTTAGCAACCCAGGGGCTGCTGTCTCTTTGGTCATCCTGAAGGCCAGATCACCCTGAGGAGCAGGAATTACATGAGAGGAGATGCTCAAGAGTGACTAGGGACAGGGCAGCATCCACTGATCCTCTTTGAAACCCCAACGCCAGGTCTCCTTTCTTCTCTCTCCCCTGGTCTTTCACTCCCAGTCCCAGCCTTCTTGAAGAGACTCTCTTATCCGGTCCTTTGGGTTCCCTCTTAAAGCTAATGGGGATCCATGGGAGGGTTGTGGGCCACAGAGGGACAGGATCAAGTCTGGGTATTCCAAAAAGCCCCCTGAGGCCCATGTGAGAGACAGCCTGTAAGGGGGAGCGACTGCAAGCCAGGTAGCCCGGGAAGAGACTGGTGTGGTGCTCAGAATGAGTGACATTCCAGATGGTGCATGGGCTGTGAGGGATGAGGAGGTGGAACAAATTTAACAGACCTCTGGGAGAATATAAAAGGACAGGAATTACTACTGCTGATAAGAATAGTCCCAAACTTCTTGCTTTGCAAATAAAGTTCTCCACAATTAAGCTGCACCCTTGCCTTATATTGCCCTGTGCCTTTAACATTCCCCACGCTGAAGAGAAAATGTTGCCTTTTCTAAATTTCACTGATTAAAATTTTAGGAATGTTGCTAGCTTGCTATAAACACATTCATCATTAAAAATTAAGTTATATAAACCTATGGTTAAGCAAATTATATTAAAAACAAAGGTAATAATTACTCAAAATCAATTACCTCTAATTTTTCTAATACATTCCACTGCTATCTGTGTCTTGAGGTTGTTTACATTTATTGTATCCGTATGATGGAAACACTACATAATGGTGTGCTACTGTATCTGTCCCTAACTCCACATCATGGTTGGTAGCTTGAAATTGACCATGATGAGAGTATTTACACAGTAGAAATTGGCAATACTACAGTTCAGGGCTTCCCCTCCACTTTGACATCTGCAATTAAATATTTAACAGCACCATTGCTAATAGTTCCCACTCAAAGAAAGCCATTCACCTTGGAACTGCCATCCATAAATGAAGTAGCTCTTTGTCAGTTGAGAGCTATTTGTTGGCACCACCCAAGTGGCAATAGGATCCGGCAGATCCTCAGGTGGTTCCAGAGTCAGTCTTAGGGAAAAGAGGCCACCTGCTCCTGAATACAATGAATATCTCCTTACAGTCCCTTGGCAGCATGCTCCTCTGTAAACCATTTCCATTTTATTATGGAACTCTTCTGGGCATGGCCTTCCTTATTAGTGTATTTATCCAACATTACCCAAGACATCATGAGTATTATTTACGGCTTCAGGACCATTTTATATCCTTCAGTAAAAGCGGTGGTTTCAATGAAAGCCCAGTAGCCACCTAGTTGTCTCTTTAATGGAAATTTTCTGGCCAAAAATCCCAGTAGTTGCCACTGAGAGGTGCTCCCTGGTCTTTGCCACAAGCTGGAGTTTGCATAAGGACTTTAAGACTTCTTTCTGCTAATTTTATAAATAGAGGTTAGCAATATTCACAAATATGGCCTATGTGTCTTCCAAAATCCAGATAAGCCAACCAAATGCTGGGCTTCCAACATGTTTCCCCCTACCTCCTTAGGAGATATCCTATATTTTTTGAATTACAGTCTGTGTGGGCTTGGGAAATCTAATTAGTTCTCATTTAGCATGTCTAATCCATACTGGTTGAAGGGAGACTTTACATGCCTCCTGTTTTATAGTACTAGGTTGGGGAGATGTTCCCCAGTCAGAAACAGTATCTGTTTATATTCAGGTAAGCAAGGAGACACAATGACTTCACACAAAAATCTGTTCAAACATTCCAATTTTCATCCCAACTCCCACCCCAATCCATCAATGCCTGAATTCACATGTCCTCCCAATCTAACTATAGCTCCCATTGGCACTAACCTTCAAGTTTTAGAATCATGGGGCTGTCGAATTAAGTGGTCTCAGGAACCTCTCCTGACCATTTTACCACTAATGTGCAAATAGCTTTGAGTCCCCAGCTGGGCATGGACCCTTTTATCAATCTTATCTCATTTAGATTATAAGACCATCACTTCAGGCTATTTGATCTCAGGTTTCATATTGTTATATCACTTCTGGATTTTTAAATTCCTCCAAACTAGAGTAAATAGAGCAAACTGGATTAGGGGCCTTCAGTGCTGGGGCTCCCACTGGCCCACCCAAACCCCAAGAGGACTCCATTGAGGCCTTTGTTTGGATGCCATCAATGTCCACTTCATTCATCCCATTTCTTAATAACTTTTAAAAGATTTTCTTCTTGTTGAGTCCCTCTGACTCATCCCTTCACCTCTCTTTATTCTGTTGTCAATCACTAGTATTTATTTCCTTTGTTGTCTGTTGTTTTGACATAACCTTTTCCATTAGTAGCATCCCTGAGGCCAGCAGCTGCAGTTCAGACTGGACAGAACCCTTGGGCCAATGTCAGGATTCACCTCAGTTTTTTTCTTTACTTTCATTTTAGCTTTAATTATACATAAAATTGACCAAGGGATTATATGTTTAGCTCCTTATTGCTATTCTGCATTTTCTCATGCATCCAGTATGTCAACTTCTTGGGAGTTGGACCCATAATTTTTTTAAAAATTGAACCCTGGCTGGCATAGCTCAACGGATTGAGTGCAGGCCTTCAAACCAAAGGATCGCAGTTCAATTCCCAGTCAGGGCACATGCCTGGGTTGCAGTCCAGTTCCCAGCAGGGGATGCATGAGAGGCAATCATATATTGATATTTCTCTCCCTCTCTCCTTCCCTTCCCCTCTAAAGATAAAGAAATAAAATAAAAAATATTGGTTAACTTTCCCCTCCTGTAACTGACTGTATTTCCATAGTGTAGGTGACCTCAGGGCCATCCAGGATTCAAAGGTTTGATATGTCTGACCTCATATCCTTCCTCTTCCCAAACCACGTTTCAGTGAGTCAGCTTTGTTCTCCAGAGTCTCATTTCTAATGTCAGCCACAAAGTTGGGGAACAGTCTAACAAAATGCCCTCATTTCTGACACCAGCTACAGATTCCAGGGTCTCTAAAACCACTGTGATCTCTGACACCAACTTCAGGTTTTACAGACCCCAAGACTCCCCTGAGGTTTGATAACTCACTAGAAGTCCTCACAGAATTCACCGAAGGCTGTTATACTCATGGTTGCTGCTTAATACAACTAAAGGATATAGATTAAAATCTGCACACCAGGCAGCGTCCAGGAAAGTCCCGACCTGAGAGAATCCAGGTGTCCTCTCTCTGCGGAGTCATGATCAGCGTAACCTAAATATTTGGTAATGATAAGTGATGATATGCACAGAGTAGGACAGCCAGAGAAGCTGGCTTGGACACCCAAACTTGGTGTCCAAGTTTTTGTTGGACCTTCATCACATGTGCATGGCTGATGGCCACATGGCTGTTCTTAGTCTCCAGCTCCCTTTGAAGTTAAGCTAATGCCACACGATCCAAAGACCCCATGCTAAGTCACACTGTTAAACTATCCAGTGTGGCCAGCACCTGCCCTGAATCACATTTTTAGACTATTCAGTGTGATGCAAGGCCCACAGGCAAACAGACACTCCTATCAGGTATCACCTTCTAAGGATCTAGAAATTACCCCCAGAAGCCAAGGACAAAGGACTGACCTCTCTTCAGGATAAAATCCTTACTACACAGAATGACAAATGCCAAAATCAAGGTAGCAGTTAGCTCTAGGTTTGTGTGGGAGATGCATTTGGGGTGGCAGGTATGTGGTACATGCTCTTGTTATATACCATTTTATACTTTTCTGTATGTCTGAAATACTTCAAAATATTAAATAAAAATATGATCAGTGGTCATGTATGTAACAGCTTCATATATGTATATGCTCATATATAATTTTATATGTTCATAAATAACACACTCGTAAATATACACATACATAAGTAATAACACAAAGATAGAGAAAAATCCATGATAAACTGGCACCATTACCTACCTATAGATAGAGCAGTACCTATAGGTAAGTGAAACTGTTTGACATAGTAGTTTGCACTCGTGTATTACATTGGTAAAAAAAAAAACCTTTTCATAATGATGAATTAGTAAAAGAAAAAATATATAACTAGGCCATAATACAATTTTTTCATTGTAAATTAAACTAATGTTTATTTATTTTTTACTATATGCCTGTCGATTTCACGCATCACATTTACTCCCCTGAAAAACCAAAGAGACTGAATATACAAACAGATAATGGCCAGACTACACACATATGACCTTCAAGCCTCAACTATAGGACATACATGGCTGACCTTCACTTTGCAGCAGCTAGGCCAAGAGGCCAAACCAAGAAGCAATTTGCACAGAACATCCATAACTTGGTCAATGAGTAACAAATTCCCTATTTTTTGCCGGTTTCCAGCTCAGAACCAACCAAAGTCAAATGTGCTCTCCTATCTAATCGCATAGGGTACTCTTGCTTGTAAGTAGCTGAACTCCAGCTTCCCCATGATCACAATTCCTTGTCAGACACTATCTGAAACTCCTCTTTTTTTTTCCATTTTAAGGATCCCCTACTACCCTGCCTGCCTTCCAGTCTTTGCGAAATGCAAGTGAGGGTGTTTACCCTCTTGTAATAGCAACCTCTCAATGGATAGCCTGTTTGATCTCATTTGGACTGTCTTTCTGTTTCATGAAAACCTGAGAATCAAGTCTTTTTTTTTAATTTTTTAAAAATTTTTATTGATTATGCTGTTACAGTTGTTCTATCCCCCCTTTATTCCCCTCCACCCTACCCCTCATCCCCACCATTACCCCCCCTTTAGTTTATGACCATGTGTCTCAAG